AAATGTGACGAAAATCACTTTGATCCTATATTAATATAACTAATGGACGAGATTATTTGGAAATACCTTTAATAACGATAGCAAAATTTTAAGGTTGTGGACATTTGTAAGATTAAATGTATGACCCAGTGGAGACTGTTGGAAAATTCCAACGTGTGGGGCCCACACATGTATATATATTAAAATGAATAATCTATCCTAAAATTTTAGTCAATAAAGTGATATATTAAAGCCAATTTTGGACTAGTGTATATTAAATGTCATAGGAATAAAGTGTAGAGACCAGAAAATTATTTTAAATTGATGAGTAGCCAATTTAAAATATGTGAAAGATAATAATTGCTCAATATAGTTATTATATCATGGGGTCAAGGTTCCCAATTGAACATGAGTTGTTTCAAAAGAAAACACCAAAAGGCGAATAAGTAGGAAATCAAGGAATCTTGTCGAGTTAATTGAAAATGTGATTGATATGGCTATTAATGTACATCAATTTACGTCGGGCAATGCAATAGTAAGATAGCTCATGAAACAATAAGATCAGTTATCACCACTTCCCCAGAATGGAGAAAGAGAGAGTAGGAATGGAAGTCCGATGCAAAGAAAGCATACATAGCATTCTTCCTACTAGGCCGCCAATTCACCTATTGACACATTATGCATGACAAGACAAGTGTCCCATCATGAGCGGGAGTGGAGACCTTCACAGTCCGCATGTGTATTCAATAGGACACAAGGTGAAGAGAGTCCCCTAAAAAGCCTAGTGGAAGAGTTAGACAAGAAAACTTCTACCCTATCAAATGGGAGGAGCAAGTTTTCCCACGCGTTCTTGTAGAAGAAGTGGGAAGCAGACAACGTCGATCAGTGATGGATGACAATGAGGAATATGCCCAATTCTTTGAGGCGATTAAGAAATTGGGAAGTCCTCGGAAGTTCGCCATGCCAAAAATGCAGAAGTTTAGTAGCACGGGTAACTTTGTTGACCATATTCGGGAATACAACACCCATGAACTTCATGAGAGCAAAATTTGTACCCATTTTTTCTCTCAACAATAGATTTTGCTAATTAGATTATGTATATATTATAGTATACTCTGTTTTCAGTATAAAGTATAAGCAAACATGTATACATGTATTTCATAATGACTTAA